TTCTTGTTTTCCCATATCCAGTCCCCACCCGAACATTATGTATGTTTCCCCCGAACCAGCGAGGAAACCGCTTTCACTTGAAGATCTTTAGGCTGGTCTTCATACAATTCAATTGACCGTGTAGTGATGTGATTGGCCAGTGAGTCGTCATTCATTAACAACAGAGGTTCGGGCACTTGATTGGCCTTGCGTTGGACCGAGATTACCCGGACGTGTTCCATAGATTCCGGTCGGTGTTGCTGATTCAGGTCAGTGTCAATGATTCAGGTTGGTCGATGATTCAGGTCGGTGTCAATGATTCAGGTCGGTGTCGTTGAAAGATTGTCTGGTCTAGGCTAGATTTTTTGGCGTTGTCCTAGTAAGCTCATGTTATCGGTGTATCACTTATCACTTGGTGTACCACCATTATATCACAAGTGTTATTATGTGATTAACCTGGACCCCATTGACAGTATTCGATGCGGTACGTTAGATGAGGCGGCTGTACAAGATCTTTCTCAAAAACCCTCCAGAGCCTTGGATTGATCAAAACGACGCTTTCCCAAGCAATGATCGACCTCTCAAATCAATGCAGGAGAGCGATTGAATCTCCTGCATCAGCCCCTCCGTTTGGTGGGCAACTTTCTAGTGTTCGGTGAAGCAATTATGACACCAAACGCAATAGAAAAAAATGTCCGATTTTCCTAATGCCCTCAGCCCGCGAGGTCGACTTGGCGCATAAGTCCCTCCTTCGGAGGGTCCCTGCGGGACGGCGTCCCCCCTCTATAAGGAGGGACTAGTTAAGTTAGCATCCAGTGAAATTTCGGTGCCATAAGCCTGCGACGATGCGGCCAAAATATCGAACAATTTTAGAATATCCCCTTCCTATTCCTTTCGGCACCGATTCTTGATAATGAAGCTGTTGTCTCTATCTAAATCAAATTCCTCATGCATTCTTCTACTGTTACCGCTACATCCAAAAACATATTTGCCATTCTTCCTTGATATTATCTTATCTTCAAGAGTTTGATCTATTTACCCCCTTAGATGATTTAATATGAACGAATTAATTCTGCAAATTGATGGATTCAATTACACCAATCAGCAATGTCCATTAGGGTTTTCTTAGTGCAGAAAGAAAGCAACCATGCAATGCTATTCATGACCTGGTGAGTGCATCTGGAATTTACTCTCACAAAGTTTCTGGGGGAATAGACTATGTATTATAAATAGTGTACAAATCCAAATTTAAATGAAATCGTGAAATCACATGTCTTTGTTTTCCAAAGTCAAGCTGTCTTTGGTGGATTTGCAGATGATTTTCTTTCAAGAGCCGTACAAAATAAACTGTGCAGCTTTCCTGAAGAAATCCAGTCAGTCCCACATCTGATTTGGAAAGACAATCACTCCCGATATGCAAATCAAATACTTATGACTTGAGGGAATAGTAGAAGATTTTACCTCCTTGATTTTTTTGTTCATGACCATAATGGTGGACCTTGAAGACTGTTTTCAGGAACTCTCATGATCATGAAGACCTACCCCCAAATTTTTCAAGCCAAATGACTTTCCCATCCAGCACATCCATGCAGGGGATGTGTGGAGGCTGAGATGGGTAAAGGAAAGCTATGAACAATCCTGGATTAAAATATCAGAAAAAAAAAACCTTTGGAGCTTTGGCCAGGTGTTCAGATAGATGAATTGGTGTGGGGTCAATCAGCAGGGTCAAAATCCATTGCTCTGCTCCATGAAATCTCTCAGAGCTCTTATTAAATATAATATGGCCCTGGGAATTGTCTATAGAGATGCATGCCAATGGACAAAGCTCTTAATTCTTGGGGAAACTTGATCCCTCATGTCATGAGTGGCCTCAGGTATGAATTTTTTGTGATTATACAGTTACAATTAGATTCAAGGCACCATGAAACCAAAAGCTAAGAGATCATCTCCTACTTCAAAATGGTATGTCTTTGTGAATCCATCCCCATTGATCCAATGAGTATGTACTGAATCAGGAAACTTTAGTGGTCTATTTTATGCACAAATTTTTTGTCGTCTCCTAGATCTAATCTGGGTTTTCAAACTTCCTATCAAACACAATCAGAGAAAATTGGTGAACTGGAAACTGACTGCATCTCAAGAAAATGTCAACCAAAGGTGGAGATCATGCGGGGGAGGGGTCAAGAAGGAATTCACGACTATATATCTGGTTTTCTAGTCCACCCTTGAAAGCTCTCAATCAAAAGACAAAGCATAGCCAAGATAACAAACTCTTTCACTGCCACAATCCCACTCATTCTAATAGGACTCAACTGCAAATTTGACTGATTACTAACTCATATGAACATTCAGTAATGTTATTATAATCTCAAGAATAATACCAAAAAAGAAACAAGGAACAAGAGATTGATGATGATCTATATATATGTAACGTATATCTCTCAAAGCCAAGAGGATGAGAATCATAAAACACTGCCTCTGGAAATGAATGCACAAAGGCAAACTACACACACACATGCACAAAACAAAAGGGAAAACTCTATTTTCTTCACTAGAACATGATAACCAGAAAAGCAATCAAAGTAATTGAAATTTATGTCGATGGATATCATCATATTCGTCATCAAGAAACAAAATAAAACAAAATGAATGCTAGTCTAGAGAGGCGATAGGGACGACCGAGTTAGGCTCGTGCTTAAGGTTCTTCTCGATCTCGAAATCGTCCAACCGAATCGGTCTCAGCTCGAGTTCCTACAACAACAACAACAACAACAAAAACCAACACAATCAACAACGAGGTCGGAAAAAGGGGGGGGGGGGGTTATTTTCGAATGACAAGACGAGAAGGGGCACTCACGGATTGACTAGCTTCGACCATCGCTGACTTATCTCCTCCTTTTGATCGTACGTATTCTTTGATAGGTGCCATGACTGCTGAGCGACAAAACTCCTTCAGATCCGAGCCCGAATAATTCGTCGTCTGTTGCGCTAAATATTCTATGCTCAAATTAGCCTCCATCTTGATATCTTTCAACAACTTTTTTTTTCCCACAAAAATAGAAATAAAACAAGCGTTGGTCAATGATAAAAATTCAAAGGATAAGAAGGGAAGGGCTCATACTAGGTTGAGAATGTTGGTCCGTTGTTGCAGGTTGGGTAAGCCGACTGGAATCCGTTTTGGCATCCGACGTAAGATCGCTGGATCGATATCATTCGGTCGATTTGTGGCTCCCAAGACTAGAATCCTACTGCTTCCAGTCGCCAGACCATCCCATAATCTGATACAAAATATGTCAATCCAGTTCAATCAATCTCTCTTTGTTTTTATGGACTCATACAGAAGCCTTCCAATTTCAATCAAACTCTTTTTTTTGGACCGGGAAATAGAACTCACGTCATGAATTCAGCCTTCCTTATTTTTTTTGAAAAAATTGAAGGGAAAAAATGCAGAGGGGAGTGATTAGTATACTCTTATGAAAGAGAAGCTAGCTAAAGTGAAAGAGCTTACATCATTCCAGATACCTCGTGGTCAGTCCGTGATCTTTCGCGCATGAACGAGTCGATTTCATCGATGAAGATAATGCTAGGTTGAAGTTTCTGACTTAAAGAGAAGAGAGCTGCGACGAGCTTAGATGATTCACCAAACCACTACAAAAACAAGAAGAGCAAGACATAAGATATACGATTAATGGATGATGTGTTTGAGTTTGGGGATGTCGATTACCTTTGAGCTCAAGTCACTGGGTTTGATGTTGATGAACATCGCCCCACTCTCTTTTGCCAAGGTTTTTGCCAGCATGGTCTTCCCACATCCCGGAGGACCGTAGAGTAGGACACCCTTGGGTGAGCTGAATAGTCCGGCTGATGATTTGAAGGTTGAAGGGTAACAGAGCGGGAAGATGATTGACTCTTTCAGGTCGTTGATGATCGGATCTAATCCGCCAACATCTGCATTCCAAAAATAAAGAGAATGAGTTTCATTTTTGGTGAATCACAGCTGGGTAAAAAAATAAAAACAGTTTCTTGGATAGGGCAAACCAGAAAAACCGACATCGATTTCATCAGGCTGGATGACTTCTCCGATCAACATAGCCTCATGATCGTCGAGCTCCAAGGTCTTCTTATCCAAGCCCATACTCTTCATGACTTTCTTGGATTTCTTGAGCAGATGGTCCTTCGATTGTCTGGATGGATCCGCCCTGGCTAGGATATATTTGACGCCATAGAAGAGGAAGATTTGGGAGATCGCGAGTAGTGTGAGATCGGAGAATGCCTTCTTGGTCGTTGGTGAGAAGTTGGATAGTTTGAGTTGGTTGAGGAATGTCATCTTTTTTGGGTGTTGTTGATGTTGTGGTCTGCTGCTGTGTACATAGTCGTGCCAAGTGCCAAGTGGTGTGGAAAGAGTGACGGTTGCCCCCGAGGGGTCACCCGGTCTGTCCCTGGCCATCATCTTTACTCCGCCAGTACACAGTAGGATGTATGCGTGTGAGATCGAGGGAAAGCGGTCAACAGGATGTACTTCATCTACCAGCTACCTCCACCAATCTCACTCATCCTCATCATCTCATTCATATCCACATCAGTCTACATCAACCTACGGCTCACCAGATTCGTACTCAAGACTTATGCCGGATTACTCCAGAGGAGAAACCTCAAGAATCGGGCCAAATTACTCTCTCTGATCGGGATCAAGGATGAAGGAACCGCAACCAAGAAGGTGATCATCGGATTCTTACATCCCTATTGGTATGTCCTCAACCTATTTCATTTTTACTGTCATCAGCGGGGATTTTGATTGTTATGTTATTTTTTTGCTTCTTCTAAGGGATTAGTAATGCTGGCGGTGGAGGCGAAAGAGTGCTCTGGACAGCCGTGGCACTACATCAACGAACCGAACCTGATACGATCTGCGCGATCTATACTGGTGATCTCGAGGTATCCAAGCAAGAAATCATTCATAAAGTTAAGGTCAGCTAAGACCATCTGATCAGGTACTACCGGTACAGTCTTGCTATCCTACACCCTTCAGATGATTCTAACCCGATTATTCATTGGTAATCATATCCAGAGTCGCTTTGGGATCATACTCGACCCATCTTCCTTGCTCTTGGTCCCCTTGAAAACTCGCTATCTCGTCGAAGCATCTACCTGGCCTCGTTGTACCCTACTAGGCCAATCTCTCGGAAGTCTCGTCTTGGGATATGAGGCTCTTTCGGCTCTGATCCCTGACATTTATATCGGTAAGCTCAATGAATGCCTTCACAATAATCAAATCATTAGTACAAGCAGCAGTATTGTTGAATCATTCTTACAATCGTCTCAGATACGATGGGCTATGCATTTACCTTTCCTGTCTTTCGATTGCTCACCGACGTACCCATCGGCGCATACGTCCATTACCCCACAATCAGTAATGACATGCTCCAACGAGTCTCGAGAAGAAATTCAGCACATAACAATAGTTCCACCATCAGTAATAGTGTTGTCCTAAGCTATGCTAAACTGATGTCAGTATTCCAAACTACGCCCATAACCTTTTGCTTTCTCACCATAGCGTATCATTGATGAAGTAAATACTTATGGTGTCGATCGATCTGTTTGATTTCCAGCTATTACATCATCTTCGCAGAGCTGTACTCTTTCTGTCTAAGGCAGGCCCATCATCTCATGGTCAATTCGAGTTGGACGAAAAACCATATCGATCGCCTACTCCAACCATGGTTATATCGGGACGAGGTGGAGAGTGAAGAAACTCCCCAAGACTGGACCACCTCCTCGGATCCATCCCAATCCAAATCCCTGAAACCTGGTGGCCTTCGTCTCCGAATTCCTTCAACAAAGGATGAGCGGAATGATACAACTAACATCCCCAAAAGAAAAAGTAGAAAATTCGTCAGATCGACTGTTGTTTATCCTCCCTGTGATGTCGAAAGCTTTCTCGATTTCCCCATCTCTCCCCGCAAGTTGACGATCCTTTCGATCTCCCAATTCCGACCGGAGAAAGATCAAGGAACGCAGATCAAGGCATTTGCGCGATTCTTGTCGACTTTAGAGTCCGATGATCCTCGACGAACGGAGATCAAGTTGGTTCTGGCAGGCAGCTGTAGAGACCATGCCGACCATGAAAGGGTCGCTCAGTTGAAGGAGTTGGCTCATCAACTCGGAGTCTCGCAGACGGTCCTTTTCTTGGTTAATGTTAGCTGGGATCAGTTGAAGAATCTCTTGAAGGAATCGTTGGTCGGTATTAGTACGATGATCGACGAACATTTCGGGATCAGTATCGTTGAATTCATGGTTTGTTTTTGTTCTCTTCTCTTATGGTATGGGTAAACCAGATGGGATCGCTTAAAGAAGGTATGTTCTAAATAAACAAATATGTAGGCATCGGGTATGATTCCATTAGTCCATCGTTCCGCCGGTCCATTACTCGACATCGTCGTCCCATTAGGTCATCATCATCAAGGCTCGGAAGAAAGACGGACAGGATTCCATGCAGATGGGGAGGCTGAATACGCCGCCCACCTCGCACACATCTTCTGCTCCTTAAGTCCCGACGAACGCATCCAGATCCAATCCGACGCCCGTCTACTCGCTCGCACTAAGTTCGGCGTCGGCCAGTTCGAACGGCTTTGGATCAACTCCTTTCGACAAATCGTCGCTAAAAATCAGCCCGATTGAAAGTCCGGCGTATTTTTTTCCCTTTCTCTTTCTTTGAACTTACGTATTTGCGTTTTTTGTTTGTTTGTTTGATCGGGTTGGTCTCTCGGGCCTTCTTAATTTATGGCTTGTTTTTCATTCTTTCCACATTAACAAAACTCAAAGAAGTAATGATGATCGTGATGATCAAAGGTCTCTAAAGATTTGTTATGCTTCGTTGGATGGTCCTCGTTCCACCCAACGATATATGTATTTGATGTGTTAATACAATTGATTTTTTTACAAGTATCCTATTGTGAATCGTGAGTGAGAACTTATCTGGGTGGTCGGCTTGTTTGACTCAAGAAAGATGAAGCCTTCCAGGCACACAATTCATCATATTTCAGGATCATGAGCATCTCCCAACGAGCTGAGATGATGGCCTGTCTGTGGGAGAGAAAATCGCGCTCGTCAATTGGAGATTGGAGATGGAGCCGGTGTCCTGTGTGTGACTGTGGCATATCTCTTGGTCCCCCTCCGTACCTCCAGTTTTCAGAAGGGGCTTAATGTAAAACAATGCTACAAATGATAGGATGGGTTTAAAACTGTTCAACCGCTGAAATCTTTCCCGGTTTTGTTTTTTACCTTCTTGATCAAGATGACCCCCAAGCTTGCTTACCATGATTCTGCAGTACCTGTCACGTTAGACTTGGGAAGTGAAGAATACAAATATAAACGAAACACAAATTGATCCAATCGTCCTTTTTAAGTCAAGCCCCCTCTCGGCGGATCTGAAACCTATTGTGAAGGACGCCTCCCGTCGATGTGTATTCAGGGCTTCGATCTCCTCAATCTCTTAAAAAACCGATTAACTTTTGATTCAAATGACCAGCTCATCAACTCCATAGTCTTGCTGGGCTACACTCCTCCTTTGATTCATAAAAACGTCGACACAACACAAGGACAAGTCCTCGACCAACCGATTAGAAAAGAAAAACTATCAAGATCGATAGATTTTCATTTCTTCTTTTAGGCAAGGATATCAAAGTAAAGACAGTTTTATATTACTAAGGATTGATCGGAAGAGAAAAGAAAGGAAAAGGGAAGAAAAAAAAATGTATTTCCTAATTTTTTTACTAGAAGGAAATATCTTCGCTCTTCATCCTTTAAAACACGGTTATCGACACTCTTTCAGAGAAACAAAATTGGAACTACGTTCGCAACTTAATAGTGTGATCGCCCGATGTTAGGAGGATTATAAAAATGGCCACCCTTCAAAAAAAAAAGCGGGACCAGGATCGACGACATGGAAAAAAAAAACCAAGAGCCCATGGAGTCTGCGTAAATATCGCAAGAACGGCTCTGGTTCGGTCGGTCGATTCGGTCGGCTTTCAAAGCACAAATCATCAGCATGTTAGCCCATTCATTCGGCTGATCGGACAGCTTATGATATATCACTTACTCGAACTTTTGAGGGTAGCCAGTGAAACCCAGATTATCATGGGTATCTTGTCGACTGTATGAGAGGAATGGGGATCCAATCATCATCCCAGTCAACAGATACCAACCAGTCTTCACGGGGGAGGTGAAGACTGCATGAACTGGGAAAACGGTTGGCGGGATATGGCCCCAATTGACCGGACAATCCCTCTCCAGTCGGACCCTATATACAGGATAAATGCCTGGGAGGAAGTGGTGAGGTATAGGAAGTTGAACGATTCGGTCAGCTGCAGATCGATTAAGGTTGATATGGGACAAACCGAGATTACTCACCTTCAGGGTCGGCTGGGAGATGGATATTTACATCCGGATGCATGCCATTGGTGGCTCAGCGGATAGGCCCGCGCATCCGATGTATCAAGTCCAGCGTCATGGGGATGCTGGAAAGGTTTCGAGACTCCCGTCAGCAATCGACTTGCGCTCTTGATATCAGAAAGAGATGAGAGGAAAGTTGGACTCACATATGCCATCCGACGCGTCTAAAGGAGAAACAAAAACACAAGAAAAAGAAAAAGAGAGAGAGAGAGAAGAATGGAAAGGACCATTTTGCAGATATGAACTGCTGGTCCATCCCAGAAAAAAGGAAAGTCCATCGGAGTCGAAAGGGGTTGTACACTTTGCTGGATATGCCCATGTGCAAACAACCACGTTCGACCGGTGCCCCTGTATTATGAATCAAATCGTATGAAGACATGTCAGTTCATGTGACTCATTTCCAAAGAGAAACGTTATCATGGGTGCTTACCGCGCGTTTCGAGTCGTCGGCGGGTATGAGGAACAAGATCGGAGGCGTCTTGCAGATGGGAACTGCTCGTCCAACGATGGAAAAGGAAATTCGATTGAGATGAAAAGAGAGGGGAGAATGGAAAGGACCATTTTGCAGATATGAACTGCTGGTCCATTCCAGAAAAAGGGAATGTCCATCGGAGTCGAAAGTGGTTGCACACTTTGCTGGATAGGCCCATGTGCGAACAACCACGTTCGACCGGTACACCTGTATACTGAATCAAATCGTATGAAGACATGTCAGTTCATGTTACTCATTTCCAAGGAGAAAAGTTATCATGGGTGCTTACCGCGCGTTTCGAGTCGTCGGCGGGTATGAGGAACAAGATCGGACGCGTCTTGCAGATATGAACTGCTCGTCCAATGATGGAAAAAGAAAGTCGATTGAAATGATAGGCGATATAAAAAGAAGAAAGAAAGAAGATCCGGGTTGCCCACTTTGCTGGATATTCCCATGTGAGAACAACCCAGCTTGACCGGTATATCTATGTCATTAATCGCATCGGAGTAATAGATGAATGTCAGTTCTTGCTCCCAATATGGGAAAAAAAAGAAACGTATCGCTTACACTTGTCGTGCGACGCGTCCAACAAATGTTAATATGAAGAGGTTGGAGGCCTTGTCGCGCACTTCGAGGGCAGTCGCTGAACGTCGTCCATAGATTGGGAGTCGTCGGGTACGAGTTGCGAGATCGCGTGTCCATTGCAGATATAAACTGCTGGTTCCTGAGATGGAACGCCGATCGAAGTGCCAGAGGAAGAGAAAAAAAAAGGAAACTGAGAATTGTTGCCCACGTTGATGGATATACCCATGTGAGAACAATCTAAATTGAGATAGATGTTAGTTTCTTACTGCTGAGAAGAGAGAAGAGAAAACAGTCGCTCACATTGGCCATGCGACGCGTCCAACTTGTACTGATATGAGGTTGGAGGCCTGTCGCGCACTTCGAGTGTAGTCGCTGTCCGTCGTCAAGAGAGGCTTGAAAGTCGTCGGAGGCGAGTGACGGGATCGGATGTGTGTTGCAGATACATGCTGCCGGCTCCTGAGATGGACCACCGATCGAAGTGCCAGATGAAGGAAAGAAAAAGCTGGGAGTTGTTGTCACTTTACTGGATATGCCCATGTGAGAACAATCCCGCTGGATTGGGGTTGGGGTTTTTTAGCTTTTCAGCGCATCTGAAGAAGAACTCGACGTTAGTTCGTGCTGCTAACAGTAGAAGAGAAAAACAATTGTCACTGACTCATGTCATCCGAGGGGCCTACCGGATGGCGATGGCTGAAGATGGGGGTTGTCGCGCAATTCGACGGCGTGTTATTCATCGTCAAGATCATGAAATGGAAAGCCAATTGAGTGGAAAGGTTAGAGGGGGGGGGAGGAAAAGTTGATCGGAAAGCATCCCAACTTGCAGGATATTTGCCCGCTGGTCGGTGAATCAGCAATGAAAAGCAGTGACAAGGCAAGCCTTCATAAATTTAGAACGTGATAACTCCAACAGGTTGGAGTGAATAAAGAGATTCAAGAATACCAAGCAATCAATGCTGGAGCTTGCATTCGAAAAAAGAAAATGGAAGCGATCTTGTTGACGATGAGGGGTTGAAAGAGATGGGGAAGCATCTCGCTTTATAATTGATGGTCTGATTGACCGATGTTGTTGAGGTTGAGAGGATGACTAGTCCCCGTTGTTGATAGAATGATTAGTCCGCTTGCCTGTTTATGAAGGCGTCTTGAATGATAAAAAATGGAATGGAATGAGCGATGGGTGATTAAAAGGATCGTGATGCTTCAAGAGCAAGCCGGAAACGAGTGTAGAGGCGTCATAGACAATAGTCATCGCGTCTGCTTCAAGCCGAGGATGATGACGATAAAATGGTCGATCTACGGTTTCAAAAGAAAAGTTCTTGGATCGAGCTTCCCGAACGTCCTCGTCCACACATCATGGATATGTGAGCTTTGGTGGACGAGGAACAGGTTCACCCATTCTTCGAGAATGAGCTTCAGTCAACAAATCAGGGATACGTGAAGTAGTGTCGACTGGGAACGGTGACGATGGAGGGATCGGTATGAAGAGAACGGCGGAAGGAAAGCCTCAGTCTAGAGGAGAAGCAAGAAAGAAGGGGGGAAGTCTGGGCTATAGCCTATTGCCAGTGTCGACTATTTATCCCAAATTTCAGAGAAGGGAAAAGGGCGAAAGGAAATCTTCAGATGGGAGGAAGATGGAACCGATGAGGGGGAAAAAGTGGGAACAGGGCAGCAGAGGGCTCCTTTTATGATCGAAAAAATCGCTCACGGAAACAATCTTAGGTCATCAAGGATTCAGTGAACCACTGACATGATCAAGGGTATGGGGCTATTTATGTACTTCATTCGAATACAAAGGAGATATTATTTGTGTTTCTTATTCTACTTCAGACTACTGAATGTTTAGCCTTCAGCTGACGAGCCAAACAATTTCCCCCCCTTTTTTTCAGTCCCCTTTTGCACCGAGTGTGCTTGCGGCTACAAAGACTTGACGATACTAACGAAATCAGATTACAACTACCGGTTTGCCCTGGGGTTTTCATACTGATATTAACACGAATGGTTATGGATGATTGGACCGTCAACCTGTGAATTCCTGGACACGACGATGCGCCAACCAAATGGTTATATTCTAATCGACTGTTCAGGAGATAGTCCCCCGTCATCAAACTCCCAACTGCCAACCCCTTTGCGCTCGCAGGGTAACGGGTCGTTTCTTTTTTGTCGTTAGCAACTTTCCTAGCATGTTGGACTATCAGTTTCGTAGAAACTAACCGATCAGGGGTCCGCGGAAAAAGGCTCATTGCATCAATCATCTGCGGTCAAAGAATTCCAAGGAGGCACAACTTTCAAGGCCGATGGCAACTCCAGTCCTACATAGGCTCGTGCCGATTGTCATTCACTGGCCAAGGGAAGAGAAAAGATTCATTTTTCTTTTGGAAAAACACGCGTGAGTTAAGGAGCAGTTTTTTTTCTAAATGTCATTGGGACATTTACATGTATAAAAAATGTCTTGTAGAGAGGTTAATCTCATGTATGTAGTCCGCACTAAAGATAGATGAGCTCTTGAGCAACAACGCTGATATAATCAGAAGATATTGAAGGGTTACAGTCAATCAACCTCGATCATCTCTACATACCCGTTCATTTTCTTTGACCACTTGTGTGTTTTTTGAGGCAAGATTAAGACACACAAACGAAGCACATCATTGATTCCGATTGCCAGCATTCAAGGAGGAAGTAGGGCCAAGTACCCAGGAATCCGGTTGAAAAGTTTGAGCAAGCTTTCGGTAAGGAAGAAGTAACGAAACTTTCAACACTCAGTTCGAAGATGTAATTGGACACTCAGTCTCAATACATGTGTAACTAATCACGTTGGAATTTGTACAACCCAACGAAAATAAGTGAGCTCTCTCTCTCGTAAGATAGATTTCACACTCTTTATGTAAACTGGAATGAAACTTCATAGAGTTTATTGATCGGTTGATGTTGATTTTCTTTAGCAAGACGTTTGCACATTTTCGAACATGTATGATAAACAAATCTTCTAAGGACAATACAACTTGAAAGAAGCGGTGACTTAGTTGCAAGGTTGGATGAAGTGCATGAGAGCTTCTGTGATATTGTATTTGATCTAGGTAAAAGGGTCAATGTGGATCGGCGGGAAGCAAACCATATAACCTCAAATTGTTATAAATGCCGTGAGTTTCGTCCCATTAACTCAGAATAGTTTCTGCAAATCTAATCCACTCACGCCCTTTCTTGTCGAAATCCATTGGTATGTTGCACCAATGAGCAAATTTCGCGACAGGAAAGGGAGAAAAGTGTATTGAATTGATTTTGTCCAGAACAGCCGTGTATTTCTTGACTAGTCATGACCAACGGCGTATTTCTTGACTCTAAAACAGTAACAGTAAAGGACTGCAAGGTTCCTTATTTTTGAATTTGTGTGAGTTTGCTACACTTACATTTGAGCATGATGAAATTAATAATAATGAAAAGTACTCGAGAAAATGAATCAACTTTAATCACTCCAATCACACAACATTACCTGTTGTGTTGTTTAAATCAAGAATCCCTTCATTTGTTCATGGAGGTTCAAGCATGCTATTACTAGTTTTTTTGCAAACATAAGACCCTCTAGAAAAGATTGTTCCAGAGAATATTTATAACTACTTTCCCAAAATGTGAAATGCAAAAGTATTTGGCTTCACTTTCCGAAGGGTTGAAGCAATGCTAGATTGAGATGGGTACAATTGTGCAACTTTGTTCATCTGACATTGGGACTATCAACGCATGATGAAAGTGTTTCTTGTCTTACACTGTTGGTGTGAAAATGAGATTCAAAACAAGAGAGGCAAGAAAACCTGGGCTAGAGAGTTTTGCCTTTTACCTGTTCATCCCCTCCCCCGAACAAATCACCGTCTGAGGTGAATCATAACTATATGTATATATATTTCATGATTTAATAAAAGATTCGAGATCATGGATGCTGCATCCTGATTCTGAAGCCCTTGATAGTGTAGATCAAGTCTGAACGCTCTACAAAACTGTTTTAGCTAAATGATTTTGTCTACAAAGGTCACTATACATGAATTACAAGCCACTCGTATTTTGATTGTCTATTGAATGGTTCCAGGTTTTGTGAGATCCATCATTTCGTATAAGTGATAGTACCTTCGTTTGTGATCTCGATGCAAGTCTCGTCCAGAGTGCTACAGCCATGTTTTCTTTCGCTCCATTGCTTCTGTGCCTTTTTGATTTTGTATTCTTGTCTCATCCTTTTCTCGCCGTCCCTCGCACTCATAGTTACTCCGCCTAACTTGGCGGTGTCGCCAAGATTTCTTCGCCACAGTACGAGTTGTTCAGTTGGAAAGATGGAGCTGAAAGAGCGTCTTTCCTGGTCGGGGAACTTGGTGATTGATGCACTTTCTCGTTGGCTTTGGTCAATGAAGGCGTACTCCAGAGGCTTCTCTTCCCCCGCACTCAAAGAATTGTCCTCTACATTCGCCTTCTCATCTAGATTCAGATGTTGACCAGGAGAATTATCGCTCAGTGAACGTCTTTCGGAATCCATGAATTTGGTGACCGATATACTGTCTCGTTTGGCTTGGTCAATAAACGCGTATTCAAGAGACTCTCCATCTTTCACGCTCGACGACTCGCTGGCTAACCTCGCCGCATCGACAAGACCCCCTCGCCATTCTCCAAAAAGTTGGGTGGGAAAACTGTCGTCCAAAGAGCGTTTTTTGTGATTCAGGAATTTGGTGACCGGTGAATTTTCTCGCTTGCTTTGGTCAATCAAGGCTTGATCAACAGGCTGCCCAGAGGTTATTTGTAAGAGAGTGCCGAATGAGTAAAGTGAAAAACAGAGGTACCAAGTCGTATAACTTGCAATCATTTTCGAAAGATAATAAGGTAGAAAAGTCTTTAGAAAGAAAGTAATGAGGATGAGTCACTCGAGTTCGCGTGAAGGAATGTTTAAGGGTATTGTTTCCAATGAAATAGATACCAGACGAAAGTTGTCTGGGAAGGAAGGACACAAGTTTGATCTTAAAATGAGTTACTTGGGTGAATGAAGGTGTTACTTGAAAAAGATTGAAATGACTCTGGAGGCGGTCGTGGTGTGATACAGAAATTCCCAAACAGCACTTCCGTGCAAGTCTTTATAAGCTGCTTGCCTGCTGCATTGGATTTTCACCCCGGCCATCGAGCCAGCCAAGAGTCCACTTCGATGTCACTCTTGATTTACTCCAACTCTCGTAGCTATCTTCGGTGGAGCAGGTTAACCACTTTTACCATGGCAACATTCGTCGTCGAGGTAGGCGCTCACCAGTAGACATCATACGGATTATTCGCGCACATGAGGGTAGAAAAATTTGCAAAATGGCTCTTCCTCGGCTGAAACACCCATTTCCCGTATTGACGAGACTGAAGAGTGTCCCACAGTTTCAACTCGAATCCACTTTTGAACGCTAGACATGAGATGCCTCCTCGTCAAAGCTCAATAACCTTTGCTGGTAGCTAGTTCCCCGTCATGAACTCCTGACGTGCCCGCGGAAGCTGATCTCATTCTATCAATTTTTTGTTACCATTGTCATAGCTTGAAACTTCAGCCGTGGTGTTGTGAAAGAACCCCTGCTGTCAGTCGTCTGCTCCGTGCAAGCAAAAGATAAGTTCGGAGCCTCATAAGTGTGACAAGCTCTCGAATTGATCCCCTGAAGTTTCTTGACGCTGAAACTTCAAAGGCAGACAGACAATCCTTTCATCCTGAGGGGAATATTAATGGTCATCCTTCTTATCACAAACCTTAGGCTCATTCATCTGGCGGGTGGACTTCTCAATTGAGCAGCAAAGGTATCAGACAAGCCGCAATGGATTGGTCAAATTTCAGCACAACTTGACTCGAAATTAGTTGCAGGTAAATAGGTAGCCTGAAGTGATCAAGAAAAATTGTTTAGGGCTAAACCCCAGGTTCATTTAACGTGGATATCCTTCAAGTTTGTTGTGCGCTCGTCAGTGAAGGGGGGGGGGGGGGATTGTGTTGACTGGAGCTTAAATGACATCAGATACCTTCTGAAGTTCTGGTTCAAATTTGCCTTACTTCTAAATTTAAGCCAGCCATTTCAGATGATTGCACTTGCAAGACATCTGCATGGAAGCTAACCTTAATTAAAAATTTAAACCTTGATCCTCAACCACATTGCAATTTCCATTGGTTGATCTTGGAGCATTGACTGGATCATAACTCAAATAACCATCAATTTCGCCTACTATGGCATCAAAAAAAGGCAACAGAATTTTATTAAGCTGTGTTGAGTGCTTACAGTGATATTTGGAGAAGGAAAAAGAAACTGTGAAATTCACTTATTTTGAGATTAGTTCCTGAGCTGAAGTTAGGAGGTAAAACTTCAGGGTGGCTAGAAGCTACCTATTGCTTTCAAAATCTTTTCTTGTGAGTTAATACTGGGTAAAGCCAACCCTCAATTGTGTAATAATTGCACACAGTTTTAAAGTGTTCTAGAACCGTGATCTGCTTAAGGAAGTGAAGTGGAGAGGGTGGAAATGAATATCTATCAGTGACAGTTTACTGGCGCGGCTCAGAGATGTCTCAATGAGTCTTACTACCGCGTATTCCTGTATCTTGAGGTCAGGGCAACCAATCTCAAGTAGCTCAGAGTTGGGACATGTTAACAGTTCATGTTAGCAGGCGGGGTAAAAGTTGTAATCAAAACTAGTAGTGAGTCGTAAGTGTTATTTGTGAGGTTGTTGTTTGAGTTTGTTGGAGGGGATTAGGATCAAGCACAGTTGGTTATAGTATAGTAGGCTAAGTACTCAATCCTTTCAGATAGGTAGTGAAAAGCAGTTACTGAGTAGTAAGACTTGACAAGTGCTATCTGATTGGCAATGAGAGTTCTTAGGTTTCCTTTATCTGGTAACTGAATATACGTTTGTTGTAAATTGTGCCAAGGAAAAAAGGCAGAGAACTAGGCCAGCAGCTCCTTTAAAAACTGAAAGGAGATGCTGGTCCATTTGTGTCCCAAGGAATAGGATGGAACTAGTAGATAATTCATCCAACCGGTGGCGAACAAGTTGTGTTGCGACACATTGTTTCTTGCTGTGCCGCAACATATTCATTTATTCATGCCTGCACAACAGATCATTCTTATTTTTGCTCCAGCCTCCCAGTCTGGTTGGTGCTTGCTGGGAATAGCTGGGGACCGGGGCATACCCTACTATACCTGTGTTGCAGTGAACACTGGAGCTGGATATATTCCTGCTCTCTCGGTGTATACCTGTGTCCCAAGGAACCCCACGGGGTACAGATTTTCCCCGCTGTCTAGGTGTTGAAATTTTCCTCATCTTTCTCTCTCTGCCCTGTTACCCTTTCTTAGCACCCTCAACCAGACTAGATTAATTTTACCAAGTAGCAGGTCTTTGTTGTTTTCTGAGTTCCTACAGAGTCAAATTTGAACCACATGAGCTCAACTCAATATTCTTGTCTCTAAGGTATTATCTTCTCTTTTTCCTGACTTGTTGTGTGTTATTAAGAATTGATTAATAAGAATTAACACCTCTTGTTATCTGTGATTTAAAACATTTTTTCTTGATTAACTCATCTGACATTACTAAAAGAGAATGAGAAGTTTTGTATAGTTTGTTACTTCCAAGAACTTGTTTTATCTTCTCTCAATTTTTATTCAAAATACTTTTTCTTATTCATTTTTCTCAACCCACATTTTGATCACTTGTACCTAGTCTACTTAAGCGAGCCTACCTACAGTGAATAAAAATTATTGGTTCTTTTCACTCCTTCACCTTGAACCTTTCCCAAAAAAGGGCCCCTGCCTTCTTTGTGCCACCTTCTCAAAATTCTCAACTTCAACCGGTCAAGAGCTCAAAAACTCAACACTAGGCCCAATACCCTAGGGTATGTCGCGGGCGGCCTGATTATATTACCTGCCAGACGGGTATACCCTTGGGTCGGGGCGCCGGGTGGCTTAAAAATAGAGGTTACCTGCGGGGTCCAGCTCTAATCTTTGTGAACAAGATTGTAACATGAATATGCCACACTACCCTGCTATACACTATCCAGAAGGAGGCAGTTATGCTAGATACTTTGCACATTCTCCTCAGTATTGTGAAGGAAGCTATGTGGGTATGAAGGATCCAAGCCATCAGAGTGATTGCCACAGTACACCAATCTGAACCAGTTACAAACACATAAAAGCTCTTTGTCTTCAGGAGCCAAGAGCTTCACATATGGCAAGAGCCAAAAGTTGATGAAAAAAAGAAACCATCAGAAAAAGCCGGTCTTCTTCTTCTTTGATCAGGCCTGCTCCAAGTCTAATAATCCGCAGATCATATTTGAATGAAAGGAGCCACATCAAGAAATACTTTGTGTTACAATCAGGTTTTCAAGAAAGGTGAAGAGGATTGTTGGAATCACTTCATGAGTAGTAGCCTATCAGAATGATTGTGTTTTTGCAAGCTTGCAAACACATTGCCAGCTGGAAACCCGCTTGGGTAATTATAGTCTCTGAAGACCAATATAAATAATATGTAAGAAAAATAGCCACTGGAAGGATCCAAAAGCTACATGTCCTATTGAATAACACCAAGTATAGCTCAGCACACACCATATGCTATTTGCCCCTTCTATCTGTCTCACAACTCAATGTAAATATCTCTTATAGCCAATAACTTTGCAATCCATTGACCATTGACATTTTATTCTATCATGTGCAAAAGGACATCTTATAGCTATTCATCAATATAGAGACAACATGCATTGAGTATATGACTCTCTTTCAAGCCTTTGTACAAAAAAATCTGCTTCACATCATTATTTTTTGTCCCTTGTGCTTGTTGGAATAATCTCTCATAATTGATACATCTGTTTTCTTTCTCTTCTTGTTTTTCTGGTCTTGGATTCACTTGATTTGATCTTTTTCTACTCTTGTACTGTTATAACTTCTTTGTAAACAGTTGGATTGACTCTAGCAATTTTGAATCCCCAGCACTTTTTGAAAACAGCAGTGTTCATTCCAATGTGAGTTTTTGCACATTTGTCTCGCTCAAATACTACACTATCTATGTAGGGTCCACTTCAAGTAAGCTTCACTGGATACATACATATCTCTTTGCTTTCCCATCAACACATCATACCCTAGGAGGTCATGTGAGTCAAAATTCAGTTTAAGGGGGAGCATTCTATTTGGAATGATTCTATCTGATCAGCTCTCAAACATGAGCTGTAATACAGATTTTTATACCTAATTCATTCACAGCAGCAATCAGGGGAGGATCCTCAAGTCATGTAACCCTTCACAGAGTGCTCCCCTTGCAACCAAAAACTACTATTGAAAAAGGACCAATTCCAACACACCCTATGACAGGACAGCCACCCCAGGACTCAAACCTGGAGTCTCTTGATACCAACTGCATGTGAAGGTCATAGTCAAGCGCCTGTCAAGCCACCCTGAACTCAAGGTTTGTTTAGATTATTCCTGGGATTTCAATTCCGAAATATTTGGTATCAAAAAGAGAAACAAGACCATTCCACCATCTGATGGAGTTTTAAAATGGTGAAACCTGGGAGAATATCCCTGTTTTTTTCAGAAATCATACTTCTTTCTTCCACTACAACCAATACTGATTTTGCCCCAAGGAAAAATGGCAATTTGGATGGTGGAAAATAGATCAATTTTCTGACACTTTTTTTACAAGATGCCTCAGGAGTAAAAAATTAGGCTAAAATGAGCTATTTTAGCCAAACAATAAAAACGTCTCAAATGAGCTAAAAATTCATTTTGGAATGTTTGATGAATTTCTATCTCTGGGCTAAAATAGCTCAGTTTAGCCTAATTTCTACTCCTGAGGCATTTTGGAAAAAAAATGCCAGAAAATTGATCCATTTTCCCCCACCCAAATTGCCATTTATTTTTGGGGCAAAATGGGTATTGCTTGTAGTGTTCAAGATATGAAGATAGACAAATTTTGAATTGAAATCAGGTAGAATAAATGTCAAGTCCACTCTTTGAGAAGAAATTACATTTTGGTTTTTGCTTTTCATCTGCTTGAAAGGAAGATCATGCCACTTATGAAGTAAATTGTTGGCAGAGGGTCAAGAAGAAGAAATTCCTTTTTGGGAAAGGTTCATGGAAAAAGAATGAAAGAACCAATGATTTTCATTCACATGACAGGTATTCAGCCAGATTTAAGAAGACTAAATACAAGTGTTCAAAAATGTGGTGATGAAGAAAATGAATAAAAAAAATGATTTTGAATAAAAACTGAGAGGAGGAAAAATATGAGTTCATGGAAGTAAGAACTGGACAAGCCTTCTCAGTCTCTTTTAGACAGGCTGGAAAATCAATCATCAAAAAGCATACACTCAACCACAAATGTTCAAGAGTTGTTAATTCTAAACAATCAGATTTCAAAGAATAAACCAAATTGGCAAAAAGGAGGAAGACTTTAGAGAGACATGAGTTGTTGACAAGATCAATAAGTTTCATTGACTTGAGAAGTGAATGCAGGCAACAGAAAACAAGCTACTTGAAGACTATAATCCAGTCTAATTCTAAGGAAGATTCAAGAAATAAAATGAGAAGAGAAGAGGCCGAGTTGGTGGAATTTTAGGGAAAAGTAGACAGAAGACACTGAAAACTCAACATAAATTAAGCTCTGCAAAATCTAGTACAACAAGAGGAGTGGATCACAAATTTTATAGATTTCTGATTTATACTAAGTGCTTCTATGGAGTTGAGTTGGTGTGGCCACCTTCAGTTGAGATGACAAAGACTTGTCTGGTTCTGTTGAGCTGTCTTCATCCAAAACGCAGGCAGAAGGGGGACTGGCCTGCAAGTCAACACCATCGTTGGTTTCAAAGGGTTTACCTTTTGAGTCGTACTTGAGGGAATCGTTGTGTAAGTGACCCAGGTCTTGAATAGTCCAGTCAAGTTTCTCGCCGTCTTCAACAGCCATCATCCTTTCGATGGCCCTTTCTGCGGAATCTGGGAGTAGACAAGATAGGCCGAGGCGATCGTCCGATGATCCGATGGCTGTTGATGATGGAAGAGTATGATGTGGATGCTCAGATGCTTTCCAAACACACTCCACCACCCCGTTAAACCCCGAAAAGTCGATTGCACAGCCATCCTCAGGGAAAACAAATTCACCTCCTTCCACTTGGAGATTCTCTTCGACCAACTTCCCGGTTTGTTTATTGATCGGAATCCACATGGCAAATCTGAAGGGTGATCCGTCCTCGTCCTTGTGTGCCTTGTTGTAGAAGTTGTTGAAGGTGAAGGAGAGATGACCGCAAAATGATTCAGGGTCGGCCATGTAGAATGGAGTCAAAGATGGTGCCTTCTGTTGGTCGTGCTGCTCCTTGACTTCTCTGCACATCCCCAAAGAAATATCCCGAAACCGTTGGGCCAGGAAGTCGTTAATCCATGGGGTCTCCATGAAGAGCTTGATCCACCCTTCTTGGTCCTTAGCCACCTTGGATGCAATCCCGGTGATACCCAAATGGCTCTTTCCCTCATAACCTTTCCTCCATCCTAAGCTATACATTGTTCCTCCCAAGGTATTCTCGTTGCTTTTGTTTGCATTTTGAAATCGAGTGTGGGCAATGAGGTTGGTGGACAGTCGCTCGTAATGGGCTTTGCGTTCAGGGTCCATGCCTTCAAAAGGGTAAAACTTTACAACAGCAACAGCCTTGGTTCGGGCATTATTACTGTAACATACAAAGCTATTTTTGAACTTGTGGATCGGTCTATCTTTGTTACCCCGGGAGACATGGGCAGCAATGTTCCTTTCGTTGGTGTATTCAAGATTCCCAGCTTTGCGTTTCTCGGGTCGCACCTTTTGTTTCTTCAGCTTCCGTCGCCGGCTGTCTCGTGTGGCTCCAGACTCGTGTTTTGCATAGTTAGATTGGGGGAGGGGGATCTGTGAGTTTGGGTGACGTTCCCGGGCTGAGGATGAGGCTTGGTTGTTGTGTTGCATTTGAGTACCTAGTGCAAGAAAATGCTGAGAGTTAGTCAGATGGGTGGGAGCAAGGTCCAGAGAGAGTGAGAAAGCAACAGCCATGCACTTGCCAGCAACCAGAAGAGGAAGTTGAATGACAAACTCACCTATTTCTTGGTTTCTCTTCTATCCAGGTTTGCAAGTCGAATATTGCAAGCGCCTCAAACAACGTAATGGCCAACACACCTGAACAAAAGAAAGAAAGGATAAACAAACATAAAATTATGGTTGGAATAAATCTAAAGATAGAAAAGACATGACATTGACAAATTAAGGAGAAGAAATCATACCGGTTTTGATCCAATGATGATGAATGGATTACAGATGCCCCGCAAAGGATTTTTCAATCTAGATAGACAAAACACAAGGAAGGGGAGAGTGGAAAATAGGACATTTTCAGTTTGTTGAGTCTCATTGTTGTTTTGTTGATGAGGTTAGAGACAGAATCAAACACATCACTCACCTGTGGGTCACTCACTTTAAAATAAGAGGCTGTGAGGAAGATCAGTGGTGGAGAGGATGATCTGAGATAAGAGAGACTAGAAATGAACACAAAGATGGTTAGTGACATTGAGTGCAAGAAAAATGAGGAAAGACAAAAGAAACAAACCAAGTTAGCAGCTGGAAAGGCTGTCCAAGTTGAGGCTATGTTGATACTGAGCCCAGCAAGCGGGAAGAAGATGGTCGTTGTTCTTGTTGAGTTGGGTGGTTTTGTGCCGTAGAGGTGGGTGGAGGTGATGAAGAACAGGATTCAGAATTGGAACTAGAATGAAAATTTCAGCGAACGAGAAAGACGAGGATCAGATAAGAATGACAAGATGAGAGAGGAAAACGAACCAGCACTATAAATGGCAAGAGAATAGCTCAGAGGAATGCAAAGGGGTGAAGATCGATCTGAGTGTATGAGATGTCGTCACGACGAGCAGACAAGTATGTCCCGATGACCAGATAGAGAGATCGAGATGAAACGAGCAGATTGAACCCAGCCCAGATCGGCAAACGAGAGGCAGGCTAAAGCCTATGGTCAAGGTCCTCGGAGGGAGGAAGATGAGATGATTAGTTTTAATTGCTGGGGGATGGCTGGTGGCGGTATGAAGCACTTACTGGTTCCGATTCCCGACCCCGAAAAAAAAACGACGACAGTGATCATGATGAGTAACAAACAACTTGAATGAGCAAGACCGAAAGTTGTTTGAAGGACGAATGAGATAGACTTACAGCGATACACGAGGTGATCTTAACGAAGTGTTCGTAGTATTGACTTGGATGTGTGATCGCCTGGTGCGGACAAGGATACCGAAACCTTCAAGCGGGGTAAATAAGTACACCCCCGTCCGGTAGCCAGGCTGTACATAGGGCAGACTAGGGCTGAGAGAGGAGCCCAGGTGGAAGCTCGGCGTGACGCATGAGCTAGGCTTAATGTACCCAAAATCCAACCTGGCTGGGATCCCGTCTCTCAATGGTACGCCCTTCTTTCTTCTTTCTTGCTTCCTCGATTTTTTAAGGGCCGTATAACTAATCGATCTGTCTCTGCCTTATAGGACTGTTCTCTGCTGCAATCCCGGCCATCGTTGATCCCTTGCTCTGAAGGATGCCTCTGTTGGACCCGCAGCTGCGTTCAGTTTACTGGTCCGACATCTCATCAAACAAGCCATAGCACACCGCCAAACTCACTCCGGACTTCAGCTACCAACCGATGCCGACTCAATCACGATCTTTATATGCTCTCTTGACTTTCCCAGCCGGTCTGATTGCCTTCAGCTTTGGCTTCTTTCGACTAGGATTCTTAGACGCCCTACTCTCCAAAGCGACCCTCCTCAGAGGTTTCGTCACCGCCATCGCTGTCGTCACAGCCATCGAACAGCTCCCATCCCTCCTCGCACTGGCTGCACTCGAAAAGGAGCAGCAAGCCATCAACACCCAAGGATCGGTCGAGAAACTCATCTGGACTCTCGCTAACGTCTGACAGAGTCACAAACTGAGCTGTCTCTTATCAGTCTCATCGTCTTCCGCCTTCTCCTCCTCCTCCTCCTCTTGATCCGGACCTTCAAATCCGCTAAATTCTGCATGCGTCAGTGCCCCGGTTTGAAATATCTACCCGAGATCCTCAGCAAGCTTCGTCACCAATCTCTACAACTGGAACCAAAACGCTGTCGCCGTCCTCGGTTCAATATCAATCAGCAAACTTCGAATCGATTTACCGTGGAAAGGCGTCTCGAAAAAACTTGGCAAAGATACGCTCGGTACAGCAACCACACTCTCTGCAGCCTCATGGATTCAATCGTCGCCGCAAAGGGTGAACCTGCCAGATTCCACTACTGAGCTAGCTCTAATGACCGTAAGTCAATCTGAATACGATTCCCAATCAGATATCCTAATTTTGATGTTTTCTATCGACTGAAAAAAAAACACTCCGATCATTGATGACAACTTAATGGTCCAATTGAATTCTGATTCTTGGGCAACATTTTTGTTGACCTTGGTAGATGACACCAAAACGGGTATCCTGATATGCGTTGTATAAAGATCCTACTGCGATGAGAGTCAGAATCTTAGGTCGTCATCCAATCACTCGCACCTGGGAGCCGATCGATACCAAGAAGACTGAAAGTGCGGAGGTGGCCAGAGAAATCGAAGAAGAAATTCCTGGCGTACTGATTGTTAAGATCAGATAGTCACTTAGTTTTGCTGATGTATGTAGGTGGTTCGAAAGAAAGATCGCGGTGATTGGAAATGTCGGCGTGCGTACATCCAAATTTCAAACCTCGTTTTTCAAGATCACTTGTTCACCCTTCTCTTACCTCTTTTAGTTGAATACAAAAAAAAAGACATCCTTCGGCCAAGCGAGAACGAGAGGATACCAGGATGATTGTCTTTCATCTGGGAGATGTCGATTAAATCGATGTCTCGGCTTTGCAGATCTTGAGAGAAATCCTGCAAGAGTACATCGATCGACTTGTGATCATTGGGATTTCTCACATCAAGCCTATAAATCGCTATGAAGTCTTCCAGAAAGCTGGGATTCTTAGCGTGGTCGGCGAAGGTCTGTCCCTTATTTATTCATCATCTTTGATTATTAAGTGATCTTCAATCAAATGTTTTTGACGGAAAATTCCCCGTTTCTTCATCTATCTTTTTTTTTTTTTTTATCATGGAATGAAATCATACGCAGACCAATTGTTAGCTCATGTTAATCAAGTACTCAAAACTGCCCAAAAAGCAACTCTTTGATTTCAATCTATTTCTTTCTCCTTTGTTTTATGCTTACGTTTGTACTCTCAATCTCGCATCTGTATTTGATATGATTGACTGCTTCTCAACTAACTTCGGTTTTTGTTGTGTAATTTTTTATTAATATTGTTACACTTTGATTATGTGAGCGCAAAGGACAAAATATTTTGTACGTCCAAGCAAATTGCAATCAGTAGAATCATGTAAATGGCTGGTTTGATCTCCCAGTTTCTGAGGCTGGAAAGGCCAGTTGCTAATTTGTAAATCTTAATTAAAAACACATGTGGAGCATTGATTAGCTCAGAAGACTATTAGCTCAGATATATTCATCCAGTAATGTGACTTCAATAATAGCCTTCAGAGTCATTGGATTTTATTTTTGATGATTGACTCAAAAAACCAAACGGTTGAAGGAAGAGATTGATTCAATTTGATTTGTGATGATTGAAACAAGCTGCTTTAAATTTCTCAAGAATTTTGAACAGATCTTCTTCAAAATCAATTGGGTCAAGCCTACATAATAATACAAAGAGGCAAAAACAAAGCATGACAGAGAGCAGATGCTGGAAAGAATCCTGGAGGGATGGTTAAAGTTCTGATCAGCCATTTATTTTATTTTATTTTGGTTTGCTTTTTCTACTTTCCATCTTCCTTCAGATTGAAATAATAGCCCAGTTCACAATAGCCAGTCATCAGCAAAAATTTTAGCTGTAATCAGCAAATCATTGATACTTAAAAACACCTCCATTTTTGGATGTGTAGTCCAGAGTCCCCCAGATTATTCCAGATCCATCCATAAAATATTTTTCTATCAGCAACTTTTAACAAGGTGATCAGCCATTGAAACTGGCTAATGTGAACCAGGCTAATACTTTATGTTTGATTAAACTATGTCTGTCTTCCTCTCAGTCATTCCAAAGCTATAGTAGCTTATATATATATATATATAGGGGGTTAGTTAAACGACTCCCAAAAAATGGAGAGCCGACTCCCAACCCCCGCAATCCCCGAATTTTGGGAGTCGAACCCCCAAAACCTTTGATTGGTTTGGGAGTCGACTCCCTAAGAAAAATAATAATAAAAAATAAAAATCCCCGGTCAAATACCCAGGGCAGCGGCCGGGAGGATTCCTCCCGGCCGCTGAGGTACACTCTCAACGGCTGGGAGTTGATCCCTCGGCCATGAGAGTGTACACCTCAATGGCCGAGAGGAATCCTCTTGGCCATCGAGGGTAGAGATGGGCGCGGCACATCCGGATATCCGTTCGGATTCGGATATCCGCTCACCATTTCAGCGGAATTGGACATCCGCATCCGCTGGCGCTGGCGGGTATCCGCGCAGATATCCGCGGATATCCGCCCCCTTTTAAGGGTGGACAGAAGTTGTTTTTTTTTTTAAAAAAAAAAAAAAGAAAAGAAAGAAAGAAAAAAAAAATTGGCTGGTTTTGAAACCAGTGTGTCGGGAGGAATCCCTCCCGGCAAGCTGGATTGTGTACCAGCTCGCCGGGAGGGGTTTCTCCCGACGAGCTGGGATGAATACCCTAGCTCCTCGGGAGGAATCCCTCCCGGCGAGCTGGTGTACATACCCACCAGCTTGCCGGGAGTACATACCCTCTTGTCGGGAGAAACCCCTCCCGACGAGAGGGTATTCATCCCATAGGTGGCGTCGACTTGCTCTAGTTGTATTAGAACTGCTTCTAACTTTTTGCTAGGGTCTCGTATTTCTCTGGGTTTTCCATGATCTCACCGATCCACATTGGCCGTCGCTCCCGTGGGCTGTGGCTGGGTGGGCTAGGTGAGGTTTCTTCCTGCAGGTTGAGGAGCGTCTCTTCGTGGGCGTCATCAATGGCCATGGCAGCTCCGATTCCGTTGAATATCTTGCCAACAATCTCGCCCGGATCGTCGAGGAATCTAGGCTGATTGACATCCCCAAAGTCATCTGAAAGTACCGCTTGATCGGGGGCTATTTCCGACGGTTCAGAGGCGGCTTTCTCAAAGAGATTGCCCAAGAAGTCTACAACAACAACGATTCGTTGAGGAAAGGGGAGGATGATGAATCCCAGCCGACGATGGGCGTTGACAAGCGATTGTTGCTCAGCTTCTTGTTAGCAGACCAACAGCTGATCAGCAGGTGTCCCAAGTCGGGGATCGAGGATGCCGAGCAGAGCGGGACGATCCATCCCCACTTCAGCTCGCCCCTGCTCTCCCTAGTCGTTGCCCATCTGGGCAACACCTCCGCCCTGCTCTGCTCGGCCATTGACGGAAAGGTCCTCCCGCTCACCGAATACCATCATCCCGACTCCCGCGTCGAGTCCGACAGACTCCGCAGGATCGGCACCGGCCTCATCACCGACTCCTTCGGTGAATCCCCCTGGGGCACCAGCTCGTCGGGAGGAGCCCCTCCCGGCAGTGTGGCCTCCCTTGGCCCCGGGTATCCCTTGGGATACCCGGATATCCGCCAGGTTTGGGCGGAAAAACAGCCATCCGAAGCCGAATCCGCACCCGCTGGCGGGTATCCGCTGGCATTGGCGGGTATCCGCCAGCGGATAGCGGATATCCGCAACGGATTATCCCCGCCCATCTCTAGGGTTCATGGTTGAACTTGTGAGCCATCTTTAAGGTATTTATGAGCAACATTTGACAGTGTTTATCAGATTGAGTGTTTCTGTATCACAAAAAATTCATAAATCTTTGATCAGAAACACCTTAAAAATGGCTTTAAAGTTCAATTGTAAAACCCCTTAATACACATTGGGTTCTGTATAACCTAACTAGGAGAGACCTACTTGCTTCCTCTATTTTCTTCATAAATTCACCATTTTCAGAGCATCTTTATTGGTGGCTAGTTCCATGCAAGCCAAAAACTTGAGCCACCATTGACAACCACACCGGGCTTAGCTAAGCTCATTTATCTTGCTCAAAAGTTCATATCATTCAAATTGACCATGACCAAAAGCCAATCCTTGGCCTGAAAGTAAAGAATTTCAACAATAGATCTCTTCAATTGTTTTGTGTAAAAGACAGAAAAAAATGACAGTTTTTCAAAATTGAACCCTACGGTACAAGCCCTCAAATCTGGGAGGGTTATAAATTGCAACAGGAAGTCATCCATCAACTTAATTAATGAATTGATGACCACTGATGATTAAGTTGAGCTAAAAGTATCAAGACAAGCACGCCTGGGTGTGTGAGCTAGGCTACATTATGGCAGGAACCCAACAAGACCCAGGATTGGGTGGGGGGTACTGGAAAAGTCTGGATTTTGCCAAAATTAATACCCAGGGCCCTGAGGTGATTTTTTTTTTTTTTTCACAAACTTGCACCTTTCCAAGAGTGTGCTCCTCAATTCCGGTCTGAGGCCAGGTTCGAAGATCTTCAGGTCAACGGAAACTCAAACACCTGACATGGACTCTTTTCATGGGTACTATTCTCGATAAAATCACCCATCCATAATCTTGTGAGATCCAACATTCACATTCTTGTCATTTTCACACACCCAACGCTCCTATTAGTGGGCTGTCTGGGGTCCTCTTCATGGATTGATTCATGTCCTCTGGACCTGGTGTTGCCAGCAGCCGCCCTTTGGACTGCGCGCCTTGATGGCCGGAATGCATATGCATCCGCACAGTCATTTCGCTTGCAAACCACAAGCGAGCCCTCGTCTCCGGTCTTTTGTAGCTCGCCCCTCAACAACATAAAAGGCCACCCATCACCCTCCCTTCCCCCTTAGACAGGCGGCTTCAGCGTCCTGAAGCAATGGCAACTGATCGATTTTATCCAACCATGTAAGCCTTTCTTTATCACTGTTATATACATCTCCTTCTCACATCCAAAGACCCTAAACGATTACAAAAAGATGAAAACAAATTTATTCACAGACCTGATCGTAAAATTCACTCCGAATTAGACGACAAATTTATTTTAAAACCTTATCTACTCTGATTTGAATCGTCTTCCCCACTCCCTTCATTTCATCTTGACCAGCTTCTCTCAACACCGAAACTGACTTCAACCTTTATTTATGTATCAATCAGCTTCGGTTCGGTCGCTCTTTCGAGATCCTGATACGCCTTCCCCTCTCCTCTTGATGTTGTACACATCGTCTTTCCCTTCTCGTCATTTGTTCGCTTCATCCTTCGCCTCGTCTCACTTTTCTTCCACTCCAATTGTATCTTGGTCTTCTCTTTTTCAAATGTATGCTCCCAACGCGAAATCGAAAAGATACATGTTACAAACATCCCTTCTGGCTGAAGAGCGGGCTATTGAAAGTCATTCCTCAGACAAGAAACTTCCCTTTCTGTTGAACTCATCAGGAACCCACTTCCCATATTACTGCGCTCCCTGGTCCATATGGTCCAGGTTGACCGGCACTGGGCATCTCTCAAAACCCAACAATTGAGCCGGGCGAGTGACTTAATAAGGCTCTGGAGGCCACAGGGATCAATCATGCAGGCGATGTTGGCAAGAGAAGCGGCCAGCTGAGACGGCTGATCACATTACAGAATGAAAACGGGATGGATGGTCTTTGGGATTGTGGGCATCCACATCTTTCTTTTCAAAGGTTGCTAGCGCTAGAAGCAGATTGACTATCCAGTTTCGCTTTGAGTTCCTTAGCTTTTTGGTCCAACAGTTGCATATCTGCTTTCTTTGATGGCCAGCCGATCACCAATCCTTCTGAATCACTCGCAGACAGTTTCGGTATAACTGTCGAGAGCATATGCAAGTCTCCACATGAGCTTCGTCATCGTTCTGATCAGTCTTTGAGGAGGTGTCTGATTGTGCTTACTGTGGAAATGAACGTGATCAACCTCTTGATGGGCGATCCGACCACTTTATTGTTCAAGTGTGAGCGTGTCAACGGATAAAATGGTGTGGTTTTGGTCGGTTAGATCTTCCTGCAAAGCCCGGATGCGTGGATAGATGAAATCATGCTGAAAAGTCATAAACTGCTCAACTTGTTCTGTAGAATATTATAATCCGTCAATCCTAACTCCATTGCTATCTTCTTGGCAATAGGTAAAATATCCTGAAGCGCACTAGGGTTTATTAATCAGAGTTTTTGTGAAATGGTGGATTCGATATTATGAGGTACGAAGGGAGTCATATATAGTCAGATACCACAATAAAAAAAATCAAGTCCTATTTTATGTTGACTGTAGAAGTGTAGAAATCTAAACGCTCAAAAGCGATCACTTACAAGTCTGGCAACTGATGAAGCTTCGGACCATGGTCTACCAGTGAATCATAGACGCGAGAAGGAACACATGAGTTTGGGAATAGCTGATTGAACGAACTGAATAGCGTCACAAAGGTTTTTCGACTTACACTTGGGGATGACTAATGCATGGCCCAAACTGATTGGGTTGATGTCAAAGAAAGCCAAGGTGGTCGAACTTTCGAAGATTTTGAAACACGGGATGGCTCCCTTGATGATCTTGCAAAATATGCATTCGTCGTCTGCCTTGGATTTGATCAGCTCTTCCTGCGTAGCTAGCTCATTCGGTTCGCATTCGTTCTCGGCGGTCATCGTGCCTCTTGAATAACCTTGCAGATATGTTGTGGATGAACGAAGAGGGGGATATCGAAGCTTTCTGTCGATGGTGCCTTCAACTCGGAAGTGCCGTCATTCTTTGGCGACTCCCCGGGGGTTCCTCTCGGGAATTGGGAGGGTCCCGCCAATAAGCAATGAGCATCACTCGATCAGTACTAAATTAAGTGCCAATATCACATAGCTTCATTTTGTTCTATCATTCCCTAAGCCCAAGATACTCTATGATTACAATGCAACACAATATTGAATCTTCTGATCGATTCCTTTCCTTGGACAATCCACTTGTTTCCTTAGTTTCTTTGGACAATCTCAAAGCCACAATGAAAAAAACAACAACACTTGATTCCTCATCTCTCCTTCTTCCACCTGTCTTTATGTCTTGGTCAGTTGAGCTGGATCTACAGCAATCATCAAATGTGATATGTATTTGTATAGGAATTTTCCATGGTTGGCTTTCCTTTCCCAGTCAAAATTCACTGTTCAAGTCCTTAGTCAATGTCCAACAAATGCAACCTTGAAAACATCTGCATTCCAACATCTAAACTGCACCACCCATGATTATTGAGTCACAAATTCTATTTTCTATGAATCTAGTTTTTTCCATAGATTACATCAAACCAATGATTTGACTTGAGGGTGAATGCCACCCCCGTTGGGATTGACCAAGTTAACTAAATCCCTGCCCCCCCCCCTTTGTTGGAGTGGCAAACCACTTGCTGCATTATGCCAACTAGAGGGGGGGAGACTCATGTCTAAAGCTGATCCTGAGGCCTGAGATGTTGAAATGAGGGGAACCCAGGTGACTGAAACTCAGGGAGATTTCAGGACTCACAATGAGGTTGACAGGTGAGAATATATATTGGATTCAGTAAGGAAAAAGAAATCAGAGAGAGATGGTAGCTGAGTAGACCAGATAGACTTAGTATAAGCATATGAGATCTAGATTGGGGTATCTCAACATGGGATTGTGAGGAATGATTGAGAGCTTTTTCATAATCAATCTCAGGCCAAGCTGTATCATATAATTTTTCTCTTGTTTCCATTTTCATGACCACACAACCCAGGTTTGACTTTCCAACAGCTCTGTTGGTCACCAACTAATCAGCTTGATCAGGAATCAATGGCTTCAAGTATTTTGGGATGTGGAGATCAGAATTGTATTTTGAGGACTTTCCAGCATCTCCAAAGCTATTAAGCTGAATGGGAATGGAATTGCTTATTATGTGGTTTCATTCTGAGAAACTCATTAATTCCTATAAATTAATGAAAGGAACCCATGAGTCCCTACAGCATGTTATGAGTGGATATATCACCTGAAAAAAATATTATCCATGTACCTCTCCCAGCTATCTAACATTAAATGTCTTGCCTCAAATTTTTGGTTGTCAAGAAAATGTAAGAAACCGCTGCCAAGAAAATGTAAGAAACCACTGACAAGCTCTCCATTTACCTACCACACAGTGCTGTGTCCATCACCAAGAGCCCCTTGCAGGCCAATGAACAAGGAGATCATAAAACTTTGGGTCTTAACAGGCAGCTAGTGTCTATAGGTGGCTTTGCCAACAGCCCATGACAAAATCTGACAAATATTGTTATTCAAACAAAGATGATTGGTACAGTGGGGGACATGACAAAATCTGACAAATATTGTTATTCAAACAAAGATGATTGGTACAGTGGGGGACACTGTATTACTAAAAACTACCCAGAGAAATGCAATTTGACCACATGGACTGAATGTTCATCCACCATGGGAATCCAAAATTTCCAAAGGTGTCTTGTTTGGACTTCTTATAGGTTGTAGCTTCTAAATGTTATGCAGTTTTGCAAATTGGACCAGCCATTTTTCTTCTTCTTCTTTTTTGAAAACATCTTTTGGGGTAAATGCTACTTATACCTTCCTTTAAGCCCATATGTACACCATAAGTACATAGTTATGGGCTTCCAGAAAGGCTTTATTGCATATACATGCATGCAAATAGACATATAAAGACATAAAAAGTGTTGTCTATGATTGTGTTGTGCTTCTTCTGGCTCTTCAAGCCTGACCTTTGAACATCTTTGGACCTTTGGGTTCCAATTAAGAAATTTTTTGAGGGGCAAATGGCCCAAAAAAAAAAACCTTGCCCAATTTTTCCACTCATATTTATCAATAAATTACAAGATGGCCCTCCGCCCCTCAACCTCCTTTGCCCTCTATCCCCAGGGCCCCAGGGGGAATTTTTGGGATTTTTTCCCATCCAAAATTTGGGACACTTTTAAAGGTCCGTTTACAGCAATATGGGTGTCTTCTACTGTATCATCGGTGCAAACAGGACATTAGCTGGGTACTGGTATTCCGTTGTATCGCCCTATGAAATACCAGCCAATGTTTGGACCCGGGATAGTCTTTGGGCGGCGGCCCAATAGTTTTTATTCATGGCCAGATGTATTGGGCAGCCAATACAATAAACTTTATTCATCATAAATGTGATTGGTCATGCCAATACAATACAATAAATACTTCAAAAATATCAGTGTGGATTTCAAAAAACCACCAATCAACAGCAATCAACCCACCACTAGCCTCTCTGGTAGGAAGACAATCCCACATCCTCAGGTAAGTCTTTTTTTTCAGATCAATCAACCAGAACTCTTGTTGATTGTTTTTTTTCTTCTTTTTTTCTTTTGAGTCAAGCCAGTACACATAGACCAACAGCTGCTAACAGCACCATGCAATCACTTGATTGATTGCTTTGTAGACCAGAAAGTGCTAACAGCACAATCAATTGCGATTTGCAATTTGATTCATTTGACACCTGTGGCCACCAAGGCTCTGATTGAGGTGATTGTTTGGCGCCTGCATCCACCAAGCCTCTGATCGAGGCGATTGTTTGACGCCTGCGGCCACCAAGCCTCCAATCAAGGCGTTTGTTTGACACTCGTGGCCACTGAGCCTCCTTCCGATCCTTGCTGATTGATTGAGGCGGTGGACCATATCTCTGAAGCTCCGATCAAGGCACTTGTTTGATGCCTGCAGTTAACAAGCCTCCAAGGTGTTTGTTTAATGACCGCGCCAGGACCATTTCTCTCAAAGTTGAGCCTGAGAGATACTGGTCCTTCCCTACCTTGATGAGTATTTGTTCCGATTGTAGTTGGAATGACTTATGTACCAGTATGTATTAGTCAGACCAGTCATTGACAAGATTTTGATTGATAGTTGTTGGCCAAGTTGAGTTGCGTTTCTAGAATCTCGCGGGTCTCTTTAGACCTTCCTTCAACAAAGAGTAAGCTGTTCCGATTGTAATTGGAATGACTTACTGGTAAAATCATATCATTCTAACTCGACCAATTGATAGATCATCTTCAGCCGAGTTGCATCACCTCATTGCTAGCTACATTGTAAACTGGTACTTTAAAAAGTCAGCCATGTACAATCCCTCCTGCCACCTTCTTACTAGCAAGACCAGTCACTGACCGTCATTCTTTTATTCTAAAATCAAGCTATAGATCATTGGTGGCCACATCAAATTTTTTTCCTATATTGTGGACTGATCCTTTCAAAGTTGAGTCACATTCAATCTGTCATCCTGCCAAATTTGGATTATGGGGTTTGCTTGTGAAATCTCATTAATATTTTGTAACCATCCAATTTTTTTTTCTTTGGAAACAATACATTACAACATTCAATTCAGTGAATGGCAAAAAATAGACCTGGAGTGAGAGATAGATAGCACAATTTTATGTAAGTGAAATCAATTGAACATCAAAAGAAGGAATGAATATGTAAAAGTAGAACACACCACAAATCAATTCCTGATAATCACATCAACACATTCCATCAGCAAACGTAGCAACAAGGTACACCTGTTTGCACAATAGTGGTTTTCAAAGTTAAAATACATAAATACATAAATACATAAATCACAATTGCATATTTTTTTTTTGGCTGAGGAAAAACATCTATGCATCTATGAACTTTCAACTCCCCCAGAACCCTCCCCCCCAACATTTTTTACCCTCATCCCAATTCTTGCTGATCCACTCACCCCCACATGCCTCGAAAAACCGCACAAAAACACCTTAAGGAGGATCTCGAGTTCACTCTCTCTGCCTTGCTATGGAAGATGAAGATCCAACAACGGCGGCTGTTACATGACCAGGCTCACCAGAATAACCCATCGTACCAGTCTTCCCACTCAATGCTCATTGCACACATCCTCCAACGGTCTGGAGTGTCTCAAAACATCATCATCCAATGCATCAATCTTGCCTCAGTCAACTTCTTGCGTAACAATTTGGCTGTGATACATAAGTCCTTTTCATCCGGGCACAAAAGGACTGAATCAACCAATTGCTTTCTGATGCTGCTCAACTTTACAGACCATATTGCACGTACCCGGTACCTTGAGGCGCAAATTGGGTGACCTCACATTGCATCCCTCTATTGCAAATTTGAGGTTTTAACGTCTATTGGAGGCTATGTTTTCATGTGATGGGTCCGACTTTCCTTCACTACCTCCAAATGATGGCCATACTGACTAAATCTCAACTCACCATTCCCAGGCTCGCATGTCTGGAGATAGCTTTGTTGTACGGGTGAGCAAACTTCACAATTGGAGTATGAAGAAGACAAGAGGAGGAGCCGGGGAAAAGCAATGAACACTAGAGATTCCAGCTACAACAGATTAAGAGTCAACTGCTCAACCGACCGACTAGCCGTCATATCCCGTTTTTTATGGTACATACTCGTCGATCGACAAAAGATATCCTTTTTGGACCGCTGCCTCCTCCGACTCGACGCCGCAAACCGGTTTCTATCCTCGACCGCCGAAGGAAACTAGACTTCCGTCGACTATCAAAACTTCCTCCACTTCCGCCATCGCCTCCCCCGACCCCGCCACATCACACCCCACAGACAATCACCAAACTGAACAAGTCGGCTTACTCATCGAGGAACTAAACAATTTCAGTATATCAGATATCAACCCGAATACATCCGATCTTACTCGAAACGACCTTTCCAATTCTGCACCCATCGACAATCGACCACCTTCTCCTTTCCTATCTCCACTATCTTATATTTTTTCTCAATACCTCACTCGACAACCCCC